TAACTGACAGAGAAATTGGGTTGCTTCACTGGGCTGGAAAAAGTTTAGCTACATCAGAAAGCACATCTAATTAAGCAGGTTTATTTTATACTAGTAGCCTGTTGTAGGAAGATTTCTGCAAATAGGCTTCCTGCTGTGCTTTTTCCCTGCCCCACCTGCTTCCCTTCTTTCTTCCCTGCCCCGCTTGCTTGCTTCTCTGCAGCTTCACTCCCTTCTGTAATGCTTGGCTTTCTATGCTGTCTTGATATGCAAATTAACTTCCATCTTGGTTGGGTTAATTTGCATGCTCACCCTGTTTGACTGGTGAGTGTGGCTTGGACATGGTGAAGGTTCAGTCAATTTGCTTATTACTCTTTTATTAGGTAGGATATTTAAAAGGTTAAGTTCACTGGTACATGCTTATATAAAGCTCTCATTGGTGCCAATTGCATGCGTGTATTTCAATCTGTCATTGTGGATTGTGAATTTGGTTGACACTTCTATTATAGATAAAGGGTGAACAGCGATATTAAAATATTTCTTCTAATTAATTTCCTTTCAATGTGTATGAATTTGTGCACTGGGATACTAGTGTATTAATAATTGATGAAATATGTTGATCCATTTAGCTCATTACACTATTCTCTAAAATGTATGTTTGAAAATTTCTGTAATACATTTTTTAAAAGAGTTAAATTCTTATTTTTAAAATTTGTTTGTGTTATTTCCAAATATTGCAAGTTCTTCTTTATTTGTACTTTATGTCTATAAGCTTTACTTAATACCTACTAATTTGCCCTCAATTTTATATATTTGTGATGAACAAAGAAGTGATAAACAAAATAAATAAAAATCAGTTTTTAAGTCTAAAGCTGAAGCTATCATTTTCTCCTATATCTTTTTCATCCAATAGAGAATTTGAGTATTGGGGTCAAGGAGCATTCTTAAGAGTTTTCTAAATCACTAAGTTACACAATTTTAGATTCTTGGTTCGTTGCAAATGGGTGGTTCTCATCCATAAGATTGTAAATCTCATCAGTGTTTGCCCAGATAGCCCTTCTTGAGACCTTTGGCTGTGTTAGGCTTGCAGCAGCACCTACAGCTCAGCTTCCTGAAGGTGTTAATCATTCCACCTCAGGGCTGGCCTCTCTAGAGTACCACTGCTGTTGGTTTTATATCACTTTAGACTTGTCTTAATGTAAGTTAAGGTGGGTATAACGGAAGGAAAATGTTGTCCTTCAGGGATTTTTGACACACTTTTTATTTTTATCTTTTATTTATTTATTTATTTTAATTTATTTTAAAAATATATTTTATTGATTTTGTACAGAGAGGAAGGGAGAGAGATAGTTAGAAACATCGATGAGAGAGAGTCATTGATCAGCCGCCTCTTGCACACCCCCTACTGGGGATATGCCCGCAACCAAGGTACATGCCCTTGACCGGAATCGAACCCGGGACCCTTCAGTCCCCAAGCCGACGCTCTATCCATTGAACCAAACCGGTTTCGGCTGACACTCTATTTTTAATATCTCGTCAATGTTTATTTAGTGCTTACTGTGCTTTAGATACTATTCTAAATGCTTGGGATTATCAAAGAAAACACAAAGATTCCCATTCTTATAGAGTTTATAATTTATTTAGAGAAGACAGAAATAAACTATATAATATGTAAATTATAAAGTATACGGTATGGTATAAGGTGGAAAAAAGAAAAAAATGTAAAAGCAGAATGAGGGCTTGGGAGTACGAGATAAGGGAGCAGTGTGTTGGAGTGCAGTTTTAAGTAGGTCTTGTCAAGCACAGATTCTGGAGCAGATGAGGGACATGGCCTTTGGGAGAGCTGAATAGAGAGTAGTTAGGATGAAGGCCCTGCGGCAGGAGCCTCCAAGGCATGTTTGCGTTTTTACAAGAGGCTGGAGTAAAATTAGCAAGGGGGCAACAGAAATAAGAGATAAGATGAGGGGCATCAAGGATCAGATCACTTGGGAGAATTTGCAGATTCTTGTGAAAACTCCAGTTTTTATGCTAGAGCGCTCATGAAAGGTTTTGCAGTTTTTGAGAAGAGGAATATTATTATCTGACATGCTTTATAAGGATGTCAGTGGCTGGTGAGAATATACAGGGGCAGAGGCAGAGCAAGGCAAGTATGAAAACAGTGAGGCCTTAGCAACAAGCCAGGCAGCAGGTGATAGTGGCTCTGACCAAGGTGTTAGTGGTGGAGGTGATGAGAAGTGGTCAGATTTTGGGTAAATTGTAAAGGTAGTGCTCAATAGGTCTCTGGGACAATTTCAAACGAACCAACATCAGAATTATGGGGGTCCTAGAAGAAGAGAAAGAGCAAGATACCAAAAGTATACTGGAAGAAATAGTGACAGAAAACTTCCCCCACCTGGGGAAAGAATTAGACTTACAAGTCCAGGAAGCGCACAGAACCCCAAACAAAAGGAATCCAAAGAGGACCACACCAAGACACATCATAATTAAAATTCCAAGAGCAAAAGACAAAGAGAGAATATTAAAAGCAGCAAGAGCAAAGCAGGTAGTTACCTATAAAGGAGCACCCATACGACTGTCAGTTGATTTCTCAACAGAAACCATGCAGTCCAGACAGGAATGGCAAGAAATATTCAAGGTGATGAATAGCAAGAACCTACAGCCAAAAATGTTCTATCCAGCAAAGCTATCCCTCAGAATCGAAGGCCAGATAAAGAGCTTCACAAATAAAAAAAAGCTAAAGGAGTTCATCACTGCCAAATCAGAATTGTATGAATTGCTGAAAGGGGTTCTTTAGGAAGAGGAAGAAGATATAGATAAAAATTATGATCAACAAATACGTAACTATCAACAAGTGAAACTAAAAGCCAAGGGAATTAAAAAACCTGATGAACAATATTAACTAGTGAATATAATAGAATCAGAGGTATGGAAGGGGAGTGAACTGACGATTCTCGGGGAAAAGGGGAGTGGAGGTGTGGGAAGAGCCTGAACAAAAACTGTGCACCTATGGATGAGGACAATGGGGGGTGGGAAGAGGACAGAGGGTGGAATGGGAACCTGGTGGAGGGGAGCAATGGAGGGGGAAAATATGAGGAACATTTGTAATAATATGAACAATAAAGATTTATTAAAAAAATAAACTTGATTGAGGTGAAACTATTCTAAAAGCTTTCTACTTGGAGAGTCAGAAGACAGAGACATTTGAATTGGTACTGCATTTAATGTTCTAGAAAGTTTTTTTGTGTTTTTGTTTTTTCTTTGACATGTATAGTTTTATTTATTTATTTATTTTTTGGCAAAAGCTTATGTGGCTTTACAGGATCTTTTAGTGATTTCAGAAGCAGTTATTCTATTTTGTGTGATGATGAGCTATTAGACATGTAATTTTTATAGTAATTTAAGGTTTGATATTCAGTATTCTTATTAATAAAATGGCATCCAAATATATTCACTTCCCGTGAATACTGTAAAATATCCAAATTACTTAAAAACTTGCATAGCAGACAATGGCAGGTGGATTTTATTTAGAATCAAATCTATGAATGACTAAGAAATGAAAGATAAAATTTAGAATATTTTGTAAAATGCCATTGATTCCAGATACTGGGATTGAACTCAAAATGACCATTGGGTCTACTGAGAATACTAGATTCAGCTCTAAATTCAGCTCCTGATCATGTAGTTTATCATTTCAGCACCTCTTTTATATCTTTGCATGAAGTGAAGTCATTTCTTACATCCAAATTCTTTTTCTAGTAGAAGGAAGCACTAAAAATGCTGTCAAATCAGCTCAACTCACATCCACGTTCCTATTTCAGTTTTTCTTCCATTTGAACTCTACGTGGCAGCTTTTCTTTGCAGTTTCTTTGCTGTGTTTTTCATCTGATATAAGAATTGGAGAAACTGTTTTATATTTTCAGAATCCTTTAGAATTTTTTTTTTTTTTAAAGTGGGAGTTTGAAGAGGTAATGTTTATTCCAGTTGGCCCTTCCTCCTCTCTTTTTTCAGTGCCCCCTTCCATCCACACCTTTATGTTCATTGGAAAACAGTACATTGGGCTTAACCATTTAGTTTTTCATTGGAACCATTTGGGTATGTTTCTGAGTGTCTACTTAGATTTTGTTTTGCCAGTCTGTCACTGATCTTCTTACTAACAATCAAATCTAAAGACTTCAATATGTATTGCTTTGAGTTTTTTAGTGTTGGAATGATTAGAAGAATAGAAACAAAAAATAGGAAACAGCAAACTAATGAGTAGGCACTTGTTCAAGGAATCCATTACTAGCTGGCTGAAATCTTTAAGGAGTTGGCTATGGAAGGAGATGAAGTGACTGATTATAATAGTAACTGCTTGCTATTATGTGTTAGAAAATGGGGTGGCTAATTATCCTGCATGCTATTTGAAACCTTTGAAAATAAGTCTTTTAGAGCTGGCTAACAGCATTCCTTTATTTACTTTCTTATGTTCAAATGTGCAGCTTGAGACTTAAAAATTACTTTTGGGACATCACTGTACTTTACTTCACACAGTAAAAATGATCCTGAGGGTCAGGTATATATTTTTGTTGCATCAAGGCTTAGAACATCTCATTGTTTTAGGGCTTTTCTAAATGTACTAGGGCTTTTCCTTTTGAGTTATGTCAGGTGTTTATTAGGTGAGAATACCATATCTGAAGACATTCACTTAAACTTCAACTCTTAATCAGATTAAATAGATCTTGTGATGTCAGCTGCGATCCATGTTGATCCAAGGCAAATCTTAATATTTTCCACTGGGGAATCAACTACTACGTTGATTTTTCCTTATTAGTTATTACAAATTAAATAACATTTCTTTTTCTAACTTAGAAAAAAATTAAAAGAATTTTTTGACATATAGGTATATTATTATTTCAAAGAAGTCTAGAATTATATCTCTATGCAAAACTTTTTTTTTCAGTTGCTTTACTATATTATTTGATTGAATATGTAGGAGAAGATGACACTGGAAATTTTTAAAAGAATAATTTTTCTGTTGTTAGCTTTTTAGTTGGAGAAGGAGCCTACAGATGGGCAGTAGATCATGGAATACCTTCTTGCCCTCCTAACATCATGACCACAAGTGAGTAAAAACTTTTCAAAATTAACCTATATTAGCACATATATCTGAGAGTGTTACATTGCTTTTGACCCAGATAGTACTGACATTTAAGGAAGAAAGCTTATATGTTGAAATATTTCTAGTTAAAAGACATAGAAAATTATTTGCTTTTAAGCTATGTTTATATTCTTGAGGTCCCTGCATTGCTGCTGCTGCTGCTGCTGCTGCTTCTTCTTCTTCTTCTTCTTCTTTTTAAAAAAAATTATTTATTTATTTTCAGAGAGAGTGGAAGAGAGAAGGAGAAAGAGAAACATTGATGTGAGAGCAGAACATCAATCGGCTGCCTCCTGCATGCCCCCCTATCCAGGATCTAGCCTGTGACCTGGGCAAATACCCTACCCAGAATTGAACCAACAAACTTTTGGTGCATGGGTTAACGCCCAATCAACTGAGCCAAACTGATCTGGGCCCTGCATTGCTTTCTCATGTTTTTATAGAAGTATTGCTAAAAGGATTTCTTTTAGGTTACTTAAAATAATTACTAACAATAAAACCATAATACCACCCCCTCAGAGAGCGAGAAGAAAACAGATCATCATTTAGCTGTCCCTGAGTTGAGGAAGGTCTTTCTGTGTACCAAGTGCAAGAGAAGGAAAAACAAAAGTGACTGGGAGTTAAGACTGAAAAAGACACTTATCATAAATATGACAAAAGGATACCTATTCTTAATCTGTGAAAAGGTTTACCTAATTAAGAACCACACATAAACATATAATACCCCAGTAGAAAAATGGTCAAAAGTCATAAGTAGGTAATTTAACTATAAGGGAAATTTATATCAAAATTAGTACATGTTAAATTTGTTCTCTTAATTTGTGAGAGTTAAAAAATATTACATTATTACTGGTAGATGTGTGGTGAACTGAACATCATATATTGTAGCTACAAATGTAAATTGGCAGAAATTTTGGAAGATAGCTAAGTAGTATAGACCAAGAGCCTTAAACATATTCTGCTTCTAGGAACTTGCCATTAGAGATACAAAGGTTTACCTAGAAGGGTGCAGTGCTCCACCTAACTGAGCCACACCGGCCAGGGCAATTTTGTTTTTCTTGGAGACACTTCACCTGGCACCTTAAGTCTAGAGTGGATGCTTAGTAGGCCTGCTGTGTATTTGTCATTGCTGGTCTTCACCTCACTGTCATTTGGGATTCCATTTTCCTCTCTCCAAAATCACATTATCTGTTTCTTGAATCTGCTTAGTTTTTTTTGTTTGTTTGTTTGTTTGTTTTGTTTTTTTGTTTCTTTTTTTCTTATTTCGCAGCAAGACTTTGTGAGGACAGGTCTGCATGACCTCAAGGAGGATGGTGTGATCATGCTTTTTTGTTGTGGGAATTCCCAGTTGTTCCCCCAAGATTAAATAGAATGTTTTTCTTTTGTATTAGTTTAGAGAGAAATCTTCCCAGCTCTGGCAGGGCAATAGCCAGTATTCTGGTTTAGATCAAGGCAAGGGACTAAAGGACTTACCTATTTTTTTTCTCAGACTTTTTATATAAATCCCAGTTTTAAGTAGAACCCTGATACCTACCCCCAGGCTGTACTTGATGTCCACTTATTTGGGGCCCTCTGGTTCAGCCTTTCCAATGCTAACCTCATGTTTCCTGAAAGCAGGAGGAGGGGATTAGGCATCTATCTGTTCCTTATTACAGCTTCTGCCAGTTTTTCTGTTTTCAGTTTCAGCCTGGCTTTCAGAGGTAACAGGTGCTTTCTGTTTGGAGCACTTCTGATAGTTTTTGGTCAGATTAGTTTACTTTGGAAGAAATTAGTTTGACTTGTGTTGTCTTGGCTACTAGTCATCAAGGTTTGTCAGTTACTGTGTATTCATCCATTTGCTTTCTGCATTCTAGCATTAGGTTGGTATTGCCCTCCTCGTTGTTATCATCCCTATGTATGTCAGTCTTTGTCCCTTTAAATTTCTTTTTGGTAAAGTTTTAGTAGAGTGGAGATGAACTTGCTCTTGTGTTCAGTTAGCCAGTTTTAATTATTTTGTACTTCTTATTAATTCAGAACATTTAGATAAAAAGGTGTTATAAAACAGCTATTACGCCGAAACTGGTTTGGCTCAGTGGATAGAGCGTTGGCCTGTGGACTGAAGGGTCGGTCCTTGGTTCGATTCCGGTCAGGGGCATGTGCCTTGGTTGTGGGCATATCTCCGGTGGGGGGTGTGCAGGAGGCAGCTAATCAATGACTCTCTCTCATCGATGTTTCTAACTCTCTATCTGTCTCCCTTCCTCTCTGTAAAAAAAATCAATAAAATATATTAAAAAATAAATTAAAAAAAACAACTATTACTAAATATTTTGCAGATGACAAAATATTTTGACTATGAATTAGTGTTTTGTGCTTATAACAAGAAATATGTGTATATATATATATATATATATCCCCACACACACATATTGCTATAGATTTCTTGTGACTTACATAAGCAACTAACAAGAACAAGTAAGGTATTTGAAAGTTAAGTGATATATTCATCTATTTCTTGCAAAAAAAGAATAATGTTTGTCTATAGTGAATTTAGGAGTAGAAATTATGCTCTTCCATTGCTTTCAGAATCACATCAACCATCCTTGGCTTCCAAAATCAGCCAGCACCATTTTTGAGCTTAGCTCCTTCTTGCTGAGCAACCATGTGGTCCCAAACTTATCAGAATTATTCCACTGAGGTGTAGGAGGCCACCATCTGCAGGCCTCCTACACCTTCCTCTCTCTGGGCTTCTGTTTTAACCACGAGGAGGTAGCTCTGAAGAGCCTGGGCCACTTCTTCTGCCAGTTGGTGGAGGAGAAGTGTGAGGGTGCCTGTTGTCTCTTGATGCAAAACAAGTGTGATGGCTGTGCCCTCTTCCACGATGTACAGAAACCTCCCTAAATGAGTGAGGCAAAACTCAGGACACCATGGAAGCTGCCAAGGTTCAGTAGAGGAACCTGAGCCAGGCCCTTTTGGATCTGAATTCCCTAGGTCCTACCCACAATTTTCATTATCTGAAAAATTTTATTTTTGCCTTTAATTTTAAAATATATAATTTTTGTTGAATGTAGTCTTCTAGGTTGGCGGGAGTTTTCTTTTGTACTACTTTATTTTTTTTTTTTTTATTGTGGTAAAATATACCTAACTTAAAATTTACTAGTTTAACAGTTTTAATTCAGTGGTACTAAGCACATTCACAGTGTTGTGTAACCATCATGGATTTCCATAACATATTAATCCCAAACAAAAATTTTGTACCTTGTCAAACAAGTTCTCATTCTCTTTGTTTGTAATTCCCTAGTAACCTCTAGTCTATTTTTTCCTCTCTGAATTTGTCTATTTTAGGACCCTCTTATAAGTGGAATCATACTGTTACTGTTCTTGGGTTCCCCAAAATAGAAATCAAGAGGAAATCCCAGAGAAATCCCCAATCAGATTTTATTAAGTTTATGCTCAAGCACAAGGGAGATGGCACAGAGGAAAGGAAGGCCCCTGAACTGGCTCATGGAAAGCGGGGTGGGGAAGGCTGGCTCTGCTTGGCTTGCTTTTATATGCTGGGGACAAAGTGGGCTTGTGCAAAAAGGTGGGTGTTTTGAAAAAGGCAGGTTTGCAGGATTTTCCATTTCAGGGTTGGTTGACTTCCATTTCCAGCTGTATTGGCTGGCACGGTTGGAGCAAGATGGTAGACTGTTCATTGCTGCCACCTTAGGAAGGTCTTATAGTGGTCAAACCTTAATCAACTGTACCTGCAGGTCAGTAGTTTAAGCAGGTAGTTAGAAGGGAGATAAAATTAGATAGTACATTTTTGAATGGGACTGAAGCGGGGGGGTGACATTTTTGTGGTCAGCTTCCCTCAAGTTTCTTTTGATCACCTGGTCTTCACTTCACTTCTGGGGCACCTGGTATTTTTTGTTTTCAGGCCTAAGTTCCTATGCTGTCTCAATACAATGTTTGTCCTTTGGTGTCTGCCTTTCTCACTTAGCATAATGTTTTCAGGGTTCACCCATGTTGTAGCATGTTTCAGAATTTTGTCCTGTCTTATAACTGAAGGGAGGAAGGGAGAAGGAGAGAGTGATAGAAACATCAATGATGAGAGAGACTCATAGATTGGCTGCCTCCTGCATGTCTCCCAATGGGGACCAAGCCCACAATCTGGGCATATGCCCTGACTGGGAATTGAACTATGACCTCCTGGTTTATAGGTCGATGCTCAACCACTGAGCCACATCACCTGGGTATCTTTTAGCACTTTTGATGATGCCAGTACATTATCTTTAAATTACTTTGTTTATGATTGGAAATTCAGACATTATTTTTATCATTGTTTCCCTATATGCAATGTGTTTTCTTTTTTCTCTTAACTGCTTTTAAGAATTATTCATTTATCTTTGGTTTTCAGCATTTTAAACATGATATGCCTAGGTGTGGTTTCTTTCCGCTTAGTTTTTACTGTGCCTGTTGAATCTGTGGGTTACAGTTTTTAATCAGATTAGGAAAAACTTCTTAGACTCTTTGTTTGTGCTTTCTCTCATTTGTTTCTAGGATTTCAGTTCTACTTACGTTAAAATATTTTGTGCTGCCATTTGTTATTGAAGCTCTTACTTTTTCATCCTTTTTTCTCTGTGTTTTCTGGATTCTCCATAGAAATAGGACCAAAAGAAGATCTATCTACCTGTTTGTCTGTCTGCCTAGCTATTTATCTACTCACCTTAAAATATTTATTATAAATGATTAATAGTTATGGAGACTGACAAGTCCCAGGATCTTCAGGGTCAGTCAGGAAGCTGGATTTTCAATCCAAGTCCAAAGGCCTGAGAACCAAGAGGGCCAGTCATGTAGTTCCAGTATGAAGGCTGGTGGGTTTGAGACCCAGAAAAAGCTGATGTTTTAGCTCAAGGACAGAGGCAAATAAAAGTCCATGTTCCAGTAGGAAGTAGTCAGGCAAAATGAATTCTCTCTTACTTAGAGGAGAGTCTACATTTTAGTTCTAT